GTGAAATCCCCAGCAGGAGGAGGGAAAGGCACAGGAATACGAGGCCGGCTCCAGATTCTGATGCCACCAAATGCACCAGCTGCCTTGTGGAATCCTAGTGATGGGAAGTAGAAATAGCTACCAATCTGGTCCTTCACCTGGAGAACATAAGTGAAGTTTCTTCCTGGTGGGATTGGACAGTTAGTGCCGTAGACTCCATCCTGCCATGAGTTCCTCCTTTGCTGTATGCCATTCCTGTTATGCCATGACAATTAAATTTCACATCAACTGTGTTCGACTTCATTGCTTTACTTTAAAAACATAAATGGAAGCTAAAAACAGTCAGTCCAAATCTCCAATATGGTGCTTGAGTGAAAACTAGAAATTTACAGAAAGGAAACAGTCCAGTTTCTTAGCAGGATATATAAAAAAAAATTGGAAATCATCCAATGGCTCCATGTCTGATCATGTAAATCAGCTCAAGGGTTGCAGACCATTTGAAAATTACCTGTTCTTTACCTCCTTAAAATCAAGTTACTTTTCCTGTGTAATTTCAATAAATCCTTCAGCATCTTTTTTGCCTTTTCCGGTATAATATTACTAATAAACTATTCAACTCCTTTTTCTTAATCCAAGAATGAGAGTGGCGATGGTGTCTCAATCCACCAAGGGTCTAAAAAACATGTGAGGCAAACATTTAACTCTGACCAACCACTTGCAAAGACATTAATAACAACACGTACAAAAATGTGGGGATGGTCAAGATCCAGAGATCTAGCATGTGAGTAATGGAATTATTTTGAAGGGCCAGTTGTACGATTGGAATATTTTAACACCATGCTCACTGTCGGCCAATCAATGAGCCCTAGATGAAGTAACTAGTTAGAGAAACTAAGATTTAACCATTCTTGACAAAGATTATAATGTGACTGTGAACTGAAAAAACCTAGACCATAAGAAGTGGCTGAAAAAGGGCCATGTTTTTCTGCCCCACATTTTCCATAGATCCGTGTAGAAAACAGCCATTTTTTATTCATGTAATACAAGAAGGCAAGGACAGAAATCCAAATACACATATCTTCAAAATGCAAATGACAAAGCAACCTCATAATGGATAGAATTGGCCTATCTTGGTGGTGACTACTGACTTCCTAGTTGATACTTCAGATTTTCACAAAAAGAGAGAGAGAGAGAGAGAGAGAGAGAAATCCCACATTTTTGACAATGGAAAGCTTTTAGCCACAGATCTGATAAGAGGGTTTAAAAAGAGTGACAATGTGCTTGATTGCTTGGAAAATGAAAGAAAAGAAAACGCCATGTGATTAAGAAGCCTCATGAAAAGCATGAGAAACAAAGAAACCAAGACAAGAACGAGGACTAGTAGTGAAAAATCCAAGACTAAAAATCCTGACTTTCTTCCATTCTCCTACATTTTCTGAGCAACCAAACAGAGCCATGAAAATTCCAATATACGAAAAACAGAAAAAGATGAGGAAAGAAATCAACAGTGTAGCTAGTTAAATTTACCAAGAAATGAGGAATGGCTCTCTTAAATAATTGTAAACACTGATAATGAGGTTCTCATTAGTAACAGCATCAATCTGCGGCCCTGGAAACTGCCCATTTATCAAGATCCCCTGCAACATTAAGCACCAAAAAACTAAACACGTTGCTTTAAAAAGAGAGAAACTATTCCATTTCCAAACTCAAGAACAGTTTCTTTTCAATCCAAAAATTACCAAGAAAACAGAACAAGAAACTAGTACGACTCTACCTGTTGCTTAACACCAAGAGGGTAGATATCACCATAAGTGATTTTCCATGTAAAGAATCTGTAAGGGTCTTCACCATTAACACCATTGCCAAGAAAAAACAAGAAAACAAAGAGAGAAGCACAAAAAGCCCTGTAGTCTCTCATTTTCTGCAAACTCTCTCTTGTTTTACTCTCTACACCAAAAAAATCTTCGATAAGTGAATCTATTAAGCAAAGACTTAAGGCTGCATTACAGAAAGACACCAAAAGGGTTCTCTCCCTTCATCTATCTATTCTCTTCTTTGTTCTGTCACTTTTTCTTGCTTTCTATTTTTGTTTTTGTAACGATTCTGTCATTCTCAGCAGGGAAAGTATGGCAACTCTTAGCTGGACTTTGGGTTTTTATCTCGTACATGCGTAGAATCTAGTGGTCTTTTACGGTCCAATCAAATCATAGACATCTCTAAGTGGGGTCTGCACTCAGCATCAAAAGTGGATCACTACTGGCTTAGGTTTTGATTGGTTGATAAAAGAAAAAAAAATGATTGGAAGATAATGAAAAAAGTTAATAAAAAAAGTCTAATCATATGTTTTAGGATACCATTTAAAAGAAAACAAATGTTGAAGAACATATTAATAGCCATGATTTACTCTTTAGTGCTTATAGCCATTAATTGAGTCAAACCCATTAACATGGAAACCAATCTTTCCATATATGTATCAAAAGAGACGAATTTGGCAACTCTAATTTATTAAGGTTTAGCATTTTTAAACCCTTTATTAACATTCCATTTCAGCAGCATGATTTATTCTGTTGATTTTGAGAAATTTTAGGCATAAGATTCTTTGATTAGAGTGCCATATCAGGAGATATAATTATTCTTATTTTTTATTTTTCAGTTAGAGAAAGTGACTCTACCCTAGATGTTTATAATTATGTAGAATTTTGACTTTAAAATTATTAAAATTTATTTGTGGTTATTCAATTTAATAGAGGGGCAAACAAAGAAGGGAGATTTTCAATTACCTCTAGATGTTTATATCTTATCTCAATTTCATTTTAAACCTTTGATTTATTTGAATTAGACCTCTTCTTTTTTTTTTTTTTCCTAATCGGCCTCCAAGTTTTTACTTTGATCTAATTTCTCTCCTTTGCCCATTTTCGCTAAGTAAGTAATTTTTATTTCATTTTTAAAATTTATGAAATATCTCAATATCATCCAAAAAGTTAAAAAAAAATTAACAAATTGAAATTAACAAAATTAAAAATAGAAAATCAATAAAAAAATATTTTTTATTAAAATAAATGTGATAAAGTTTGAGAGAGTTAGTTTCTCAAAAAAAAAATAATAATAAATAAATCCTCAAATAGTACCAACTTCAATTCTCATTTAGCAACGCCATCTTTTTCTTTGTCTATAATATAGTTGGATGAAAATTAAGACTCAAATTAATTTAAATCTCTCTTTTAAATTTTTTTCATCAAAACTTTCACCATTTTTATCCCTCTTAACTATTAGCTATTATGTCCCCTTATTTTTATGATGTTGCCATCAAACAACACATTTAATATATACAAACAACCATGCTTTAGGTAATATCAAAATTGTCCTCTACTCAAGCTACTTTCCAATCATATTGGAATTCAATTTTATTTTTGTTCAAAATTCTTATTCAAGATTTTAGTGGCAAATTAGATTAGAAGGGGGGGGGGGGTAGATATAATATGCTAGTAAAAAAGTATATGAAATGCAGTAATACTAGTGGTTGATATTTTTTATTAAAAAAAAATATATTTTTTATATTTTTTTGGTGCTGTAAAATGACTGCTATCACTGTAGAATCGTTAGGCTCAGCTTTTGCATATAGATATAAATGGGTTGTCTATAACTTAATGGAGAGAAATTTGTTCTAGATGCAAGAAAGTTGGTAAAAGGAAAAAGGAAAAAAAAAAAAACAAAGAAAATGAAAAATGGTGAAACAAAAATAAGTGCATCATGTGATGGATTGGGAATTAGTGAAGTGAATGCGAGAAGTCAGAGAGTTATCTTCTTCACGTGAAGCTTGGAATCACATAAATATAATATGCTCTGCTACTGATCACTTCTGTCCTGGAAAGCTGAGAATTACCCACGGGTGAAATTTAGGGTTCTATTGGCAACTATGTCTGAGCTAGCATGGAAGACACATAGTGGTGTCTTCTTTGGAGTTTTTGTTTGGAATCATTGTACCCTTTTTTCTTTTTCTTTTTTTTTTTTTTTTTCAAATCTTCAATTTTTATTGGGTATATGTTTTAGTACATTTTAATTAATTGTAACAATATTGATTGGAAAAGGTAAATCCATGTGATCTAACTCATCTGAACTAGCGAGTCAGATGAGAATTAATTAAACATGGTGGCAGATAGACTAATTAATCTAGCATACGATTATATAAGTCACAGGATTTTCTATACTTATTACTATTTACATATAGAAATTTGATTTCTTATTTCAATTAGGAAAAAATTAAAATCAATCAGATTTAACTCTCAATTTTTATTTATTTATTTTTTTATTTTTGATAAATAACTCTCAGTTTTTAATATTGACCAAAATCGTTTTTATGCTATGATAAGTACAAAAGATAAACAGGATTTCACTTTACTCTATTGTATCACTGAAATTATCTACTACCATTTTTCCTTCAGGCTAAACAATATTAAAGTATCATGAATTTTCTGTTAAATTAAGATAGGTTTTTAATCTTTTAAAAAAATTAAATTGGCTATCATGAATTACTTTTTAATAAATAATAAGTATTTTTGTTAGTTTTTTGGCATTGACCACACGTAGAAATCACATGATAGTCTTAATTAAAAAACAATATTGATCTCATTAACTTAAATTTATTTTAAATTAAAAACGTAACACGTGTATAGATATGTTAAGATGATCACGTGATCTTCATACAGGTTGAAGTTCATGGTAATTAAATTAAAATTTTTAAAAATTAAAAAATTAACATAACAAATCAATATGTTTTTAAATCGTATAGCCTACCACAATATTGTAAAAAGAGAGAAAAAAAAATCTTTAATTAATTTCCAACTTCTTTTCACTTTCCAAATTAACATAACAAAATGGTAAAAAAAGAAAACCTAAATAGCAGCCGATCGACCTATAAACAAAACCCTACAAAACATCAAACTATGAAAAACCACTCAAGAAATCCCTAGTACTAACTCTTCTTCTCCTCTCCTCTCCAACTCTCATTGCCACATTATTCTTCATTCTTTCCAAAGATGCCCTGAACCCCTCAAGTTCCTCGAAATCCATATCTTCCACCGACCTCTCCCACCAAAACCCTTCTCCTTCTTCATTACACTTGTAATTGCAATCAATGTTGACATTGCCATGTCTACCCTCCGAACAAGAAACATTGTTCCTGTCTCTGCTTTCTTGATTGCCAAGGTATCCATCGATGACGGTATTCGCATTTGGATGACCAAAGGAGTATGGTCTTTGGTTAGGAGACAAGACGACGATAGCAAGATTGGCATCACCATATAAATTGCAAAATTCATTAGCTTTCTTGAAAAGACCATTGCGTCTCTTGCAAAAAGTTACTATTAGGCTGCTTTTGCTTTCTTTCTTCTTCATCTCCACCTTCTTCCGGCCCGTGCCCCATCTCTTTGTTGTGTTTACCTCAGTTTCTTGCATGATTATGTAAAAAAGAAACAAGGGTCAAGAAAAGGCACGAAGAAGGAGAGAAATTTAGGTAAACTGTTGTGTACGTCTGAGAGACAATAAAGCAAGAGAGAGTGTGAGTTCTATATATAGAGAGAGAGAGTAAGTATAGTTTTGTTTCCTATAAATTTGGTAAGTGGAAACTCTAAGCCATGCATTTCCTTTTATAAGGAGAGGGAATTTTCCTAATCTGTGTAGGATATTATGGAAAAGGAAAAGAAAGATTAGGAAATTTCTAAATCCGTTGGGCTTTGGGATTTCCAAATTAAGTGTACTTGCTGTTTATTAAGGAGGTGCTAATTGACGTTAGAATACCGAAAATTGAAGTAAAATCATTATTAGCTTGTGGATGTCTTTAATTTTTAATATTTTTTTAGTTCATTCTGTAAATTTTGAACTATACAATAAAAATAGTCTTTTTCTCGTAACATAATAATCAAGCATATTAAAATTGAATGAAAAGTATATCATTGTCGATCCTTAATTTGACAAGATTAATGGCTAACGAAAAGAGTGATGACAACGATGTGGTTGGCACCATACAAGAATGTACTTGCTTCCTTGGCTATGCTGGGCTGGCTTGTCGAGCATCTCCATAACCAACAAGTAATAACTGCAGGGCGTTTCTATTATTAATAATAATATACTGTCTCTTGAAGTCAACATAGAGACAAATTTGAATTCAAGCAACTTGCAGCTAATGCACTCCAACACCAATATATATATGTCTGTCTAAAAATTTAGACTAATTTCTAATTATTTGATCAGATGCACAAGACAAATATGGTTATCGAAGGAATTTTTTACGTATATAAATATTTGAATTCGAAATCACTTATTTAAATGAATAGAGCTTTTTCTATTGACACTAATTTTCTTAGATAACATGTAAGAAACATTACACGACACAGAACATGATCTGTTCAACAACCTCATCATATAGTTTCAAAAAGAACAATCTACTTGTTGATACTAACAAGGGCAGCCTTAGATTGTATAGTTCAAAACATAGACAATTTAACAAGACGCAAAAAAGAGCATAAACTTTGATTTTATTGTGAAAAAAACTAACTTTCATAGTAACCAACGACCTTCACTCTTTAATTATCTAACTCGTGAAAATGGTGATCATCACAAAATTGAAAGGACAATACTGTCATGGGAAAGGGGAAAGTGAGGTTGACGAATCAAGGTCCATATGTAAGTCTACTGCCCCCACAAGTCTTAACTCTCACCTCTACCTCTCTCGGACAGTCCATTGGTATTTAATTTGGTGCAGGTCTTACTGGACAATGGTTTGGTGAGGCTCACAATATTGAAACCTCAAGGCTACCTTACAGGCATCAAGTATGGAGGAATGGATAACATTCTTGATTTCAAATCAAATGAATCTAATAGAGGGTACGTAAGCTTCAAAAATTGTATAATCTTGGACATAACTTGATAAGTCTGCTAAAGATTTGACAATGTCTGTGCATAATTTGCAGATATTGGGACATCAATTGGAACTTGCTAGGAGGACAGGACAGATATCAATCGTATGATCATCACTTGAAAAACAATAGCTTTTCTACTTTCTTGTTATACTTTCTCTAAAATGATTCAAAATATTTGTTACTTTGTATATTGCAGAGTGAATGGAGCTGAATACAGTGTCATTCATAATAGTAATGACAAGTTAGAGATTTCATTTAGGAGTTCTTATGATTCTTCAAATGAAGCCACCAAACTGCCTCTCAGTTTTGACATAAGGTTTTTTTATCCATCTAAGCCTTCTTGTTTCCTTTCAAGATTAAAGTTCTTGAACTTGGATTGAGTTTAACATAATTTTTTTTTTGGTTCCTTAGGTACATATTGAGTAGTGGCGTTTCAGGATTCCACTGCTATGCAATCTACGAGCGCCCTGCAGGATCCCCTGCTTTTGATCTTGCACAGACAAGGATGGTGTTTAAGTTGCGACGCGATAAGTAAAACATGTTCTCTAAGCTATTCACTAACAAATGCCTCTATCTGTTCATGTTTGTTGGCTTTAAGCAAAAAGTGCTTGTTTTAGGTTTCATTACATGGCAATCACTGATGAGAAGCAAAGAGTAATGCCAATGCCAGAGGATCTACTCCCAGATAGAGGAAAGCAGCGAATTGTGCCTGAGTCAGTTCTTCTGGTAAACCCCATTAATCCTGATCTTAAAGGAGAGGTGAGTAGGATAACATTCCGATGACTGTTTTTGCCTTCACCAGAAAGATATTACGTTGATTTCAAGCTGTCAAAATGCTGTATGTGATCAAATGCAGGTTGATGACAAGTATCAGTATTCAATGGACAATAAAGATGGTGGAGTCCATGGATGGATTGGTTCTGGCCCCATTATTGAATTCTGGGTAATCTTCCCTAGTAATGAATTTCGAAATGGTGGTCCTACCAAGCAAAATCTAACCGTACACACTGGTCCAACTTGCCTAGCTGTATGTTCTCCTTCTGAGCTCTCAACTCAAAAAAATATCATATTACATAAATCATGCAGGCTAGTTGAAAAATATTAAGAATATTGTTAGTGGGATACCTCCATCCGATTGAAAAATTTATTAATTTCCATCCTTGAAGACAAATGTGCAAGAGGAGTGCATTGAACCTGCCAAACGCAGAAGAGCTAACTTAAATTTGATGGAATTTTGCTGCAACAGATGTTTCATGGAACTCACTATATTGGAGATGATATATTAGCTCAGTTTCGAGAGGGAGAGGCGTGGAGGAAGGTTTTTGGCCCCTTCTTTGTGTACCTTAATTCAACCTCAAATGTATCAGATGCATACAATTTATGGAATGATGCTAAAAACCAGGTACACAACTCGACATATGGTTAGATTTTATGAAGCACCAGTGGAATTCATCTTGAACAATAATCAAGAGACTCATATCACACTACCTCTTGTGGAGTTTTACTAGCGATTCTATAGCGAAAGCATATTGACGCATCGATTCGCTTATGAGTTTCCTTTCTTGGTTGCCTCATAGTAGAGGCTGCTTGAGGAGGCAGCGTGGCCATATGGATTTGTCTCATCGCCTTACTACCTTAATACTAAAGAACGCGGTTCTACCACAGGAAGACTCTTTGTCCAAGACAGGTAACTTTACATGAGATTGAGGCTGTGAACTACCAATTCTGCAGTATGTTCTTGCATCCTGAACAACAAGAGGAATTTATGATGATGACTACCATTTTGATCGAACGGTGTTGTGTTCTCTTCATGCATATCTTGTGCTATATAAGCAAGGATTAATTTCTGTTAAGCATTGTGAAAATGCAAGTTTAGGTTTGTTTCCGAGTCTCTGATACCTGCTAAAAAGGCATATGTTGGTCTATCAACTGCAAGAACTGAAGGAGCCTGGCAAATAGAAAGCAAGGTTTGCTATGATTTATCTTCTTATGTTATCGTTTCATTAGTTTCTACTAGTGCTTTCAACACTGGAAATGAACAACTTGATGTGCATGTAGGACTATCAATTCTGGGTTGAAACAGATTCAAATGGAAATTTCACCATCAAGAATGTTATACCAGGGGTGTATGGGCTTCATGGCTGGGTTCCTGGTTTCATCGGTGACTATCTTGACAATATACTTGTTACCATCTCTGTAGGTAGTTTCATTTGACTCCTATGTAGAGCTTGAAGCACAAGAAAAATCATATTTGAAGAAAATATCTCAATTCCTGATGGCACAATTTTCTGACATTATGATCACTAAATCCCTCAGGCTCAGAAACACAACAAGGGAATTTGACTTATGTTCCTATCAGAGACGGTCCAACAATATGGGAAATTGGCTTCCCTGATCGAACAGCCATTGGTTCCTATGTTCCTGATGTGAATCCCATGTATGTCAACAAGCTATTTGTCAACAGCCCTGAAAAGTAAGTAGTTCATTTCTCTTAATGTAATGATCTAAATTCCTGAGAAAGCCCTTGTGCTTGATTCAAGCCTACGTTTCTGATCTACTAAGATAATCTGTCAAAATCCATTGAAAATGGTTTTGAATTTTGGAAGGGTGCTGACCTTTTCTTTTTCAACATCTTTTACTCCGTACAACAGGTTCAGGCAATATGGTTTGTGGGACAGATACACAGATGTGCATCCTGAATCTGATCAGAGTTTCACGATAGGAATTAGTGATTTCAAAAAAGATTGGTTCTTCGCTCACGTAGACAGGTTTTCCTTCTCTTAATAAACCTATCATCATAATCTAAGTTATGGTAGTTCTTTGGGAATGAGTCTTTTTTTCAACATTGTACCCTGCATCTTTTTTCCTGACACAGCAGCATGATTCCAGTGTGGATTATACCAATAGATACCATCTGAGAGAATTTTGATCTCTACAAACCATAAAAGAAAAGGGTTTTTTCATGGCGGTCTATTGCCATTGGTCTACTTACAATTGCACCTCTAAAAGACTAAAACCGATAACATTCACTCTTCAATCTCTGCGGTTTATAGTAAATAACCTTTCTGATGCTTTTTCATTGACAGAAGGGTGGCAGATAAGTACACTCCATCAATATGGACAACTAAATTTATTCTCAATTCAGTAACAAATGGAACTTACAAGCTGAGATTGGCCATTGCATCAGCAACCCGTTCTGATCTTCAGGTGAAGATTGCAAAGTTAAATGAAAAAAAAAAAAAAAACCTTCAATATTTTAAAAAATGTAAATTCCTGATTTCTTGCAGGTGTATGTCAATGACATGAATGAAGAATACATGGTCTTCCAAGTGATGAATTTGGGGGCAGATAATGCAGTTTGTCGACATGGAATTCATGGATTGTATAGACTATTTAGTGTTGATATTTCCTTATCTTTATTGCTTAAAGGAGATAACTCCATGTTTCTAGTACAGGCCAGGGGTGGAGATGCACTTTGTGGAATTTTATATGATTATTTAAGGCTAGAAGCTCCTGCATCTTCAGCAAATTCTAAGCAGTTGGAAGAACTATAATCATTTCAGTTTGACTATCAAGCGTAACTTGTTTCGTTTTGACTGTCATGATTTTCATTGGGATGATCTATTGCTATATTTCATGCATAATTGCACCACAAAACAGCTTAACATAGAACGTTTAATATTGCAGTAACAAAAAACAGTTCATATCATTTCAATCCGAAAAGTTCTATACAAAATTGGTACAAGCATGCTCTGCAAACTGCTTCCAAGCCTTTGCATCCTGGCATTTGTTCTGTACAAAATTGCATCCAAAGTATGCTCAAAGGCTAATGACAAAAAGGATCCTTGTTCCCTAACCATATATATGCCGATCGTCCTGCTAAAATCATCACTAACTTTACAGACGGGAAATTGTTAAAAGCAAACCATAATGATCACTAGGCAAAACAGGTAGCTCCAACTTCTTTACTTCTTTTCTCACTTTCTTCTCCTTGATATGTGATAAACCAGGTATTGCCTCCTTACCAATCATGTCAATTTTACTGATCTTAAAATCATGCAGATTGCATATGAATCGATCCAGTCTCTTTTGCAGTGTACGATTACCAGACAACATTTGGTTGGATTTGGTATCGTACGTCCATCCATTATCTCCTGGCTTCAACTCTACCCAGGCATCAACCCATCCATCAGGAAAAGGAAACTGACCATCCAACTTATCATCCCAGTTCATGTCACCGCAAAAACCACATTTGAGTTCTTCTTCAGAAGGTTGATGGCCTCCTTTGCCTGATCCACGCGTTCCTTGCTGAACATCTGATCCCATTTTGGAGGTGCTGGACAAGGACTCTCAAGATGGCTAGTGGCAACAACCAATGACTTGTTTCCTGGAACTTCAAGCTCAGCAATGCAAAGTTCTCTCCCCATTATTGAATTCCTAAAGGGCTTAGAGCTGAAGGATTTTACTGGCAGTTTGCTTAACTGCAAGCAAGGGAGGAATATTAATTTAAAAAAATAAAAATAAAAGCTAATATGAAGTCTTTAAGTTGGATTGCACGCAACTATAAGGCAAGCCAATAGAGGAAATCCAGGTAAGATATTAAATTTGGCCTCATGTTTTACGAAAACAATGACTGACATTTAAGGAACTGCTAAAATTTAGTTATTGGTCAAATGTATTTGATGTTCAGTCAGACAATCAAGGGCTAGTGCAATACATGAAACACCATCACTAAACCAGAAATGGCAAAACCTGCACAAGTTCATTAACAGACAAGATAAAACCATGTTTCCATGATTCTACAGTTTTGGGGAAGAGAATTATCAGGATCCATACCTGTAAGTAAGTAAAGCCAGAAGTATACTAACAAGCATGTTAAATTGAAAACAAGTATGAGGTGTCTCTGCCATAATAAAGCATGAATGTAAATGTATCAACTTTCAACATAGTGAATTACGAGACCTCTAATTTTGATGGTTAATAATTATGCACAAGGCTTATGTGTCTATCTGGCAGGCCTGTGAATGGTGTATTATTAAAACATATGAAGCAGAATCACCATCCAGCAGATATCAAAACCATACCTGCATACAAAAGTATCCTCTTGCACTTGCTTCCTCGGATGAAACAGAGCATTGATATGCTTTCCACCAGCTGGATTGCTGAAATATGCTATATATATCAGGAATAACCTCCTGCAAGGAAAAATGGTAATAATTAAGATGAGAGTCAACACAGGCAGATCCAACGTCATGAGGTAGGGAACAACAAAAATGAAAGAAAACCTGCAAACAAATGACATCTGGTGAATGTAGTTGAATAAGTTCACCAAGTGCTTTCATCCTCTTATGCATCTCCAGGTCTTCTCGGAACCAAACATTGTAGCTCAAAATCTTGAAGGAACCCCGCACTGCTGCTGAATCAGCATCCTCTGCCACAAATTTAAGAAGCTTTCAATCATGTACGATGAACAGGTATAACTGAAACCTTTAATAAATTCCCATCTCCCTAGTACTATAGTAGAGGCCCAAAAAGTACAATGTTTGACCTAATATACATAGCAAGCAGTCAAATTTCGTGATGGTAAAACAGACACTAAAAAGCAAAATGAAAGCAGCAATTCAACAAAACCAATGCTTATGTGTAATCTCATCAATCCCACCATTATGGTTTCAGACAGCATACATAAATTCATAAAGAAAAAGTCATTAAACCGAAATAAATAAATAAATCAGCTTGAAGAATAACAGTTCCACTTACCCATTAAAACAGCCACTCCCTTGTTTGATGCCCTAGCTCCTTGAGATGCGCCCAATTTCACACTAACCCCGTCACTTTCATCTGCATATACCAAACAGTTAACAACAAAACCTAGAAACCAAACAAGAAGCAGAAAAAAGAGCTAACCTTTAACAACAACCAAAAAAAAAAAAAAAAAGCTTGTCAAGAGCAATTGCCCAGCTGCTGGCTAGACAAATCTTGAGGACAAGACAACAAGCTTAACAAGTGGTTGAAGCAGGCAATGGCATTCACGTTTACATGTTTCACTTCTAATTATAGAAATATATACCCGGGATTACATTATTAAGGAAAGATAACTGAAATCTTTTTAATACAATTCCATCTCCCAAGTAAAATGAAGGACAGAAAATAATAAGCAACACACATTGAACCTAACATACACATCAAAGCAATCAAACTGCACTTTGCTAACAAAACCAGCAACACAGTAAAATCATTACTTAACATAACATCTCTAATCCACCACTACTGATGGAGATAGCATAAATAAACTCATAAAGCAAAAACCTTTTCAAATGGACACACGTGAACCAGAAAAATCTCACTTACGACTTACCCTTTTGAACTGTGACTCCCTTGTTTGATGCTTTAACCCCTTGAAACCCACCCAATTTCACACTATGGCCATCACCTCCATCTGCATAGATTAGCAGCAGTTCATTCAATAAACAAAACTAAACAAACCCAACAAAAACCAAAGGACAAAGAACATTACAAGCAACTCACATTGAACCTAACATATACATAGTCAAACTCACTTTCTTAAAATGAAAATATCAAGAAAACTGTAACCTCAGCAATCTCCATTGGAGTTGCACAGAGTGGAAATAAACTTACAGAGCATAAACCCTTCAAACGAAAAAAGAAAAACTACCAACTTGAGCAACAAAAATATTACTTACCCTTTAAAACAGTAGCTCCTTTATTTGATGCTTTAACCCCTTGGAATCCACCCGATTTCACACAATCCGCATCACCTCTATCTGCAGACAGAAGCAACACTCATCCAACAAACAAACCCAACAAAAAACAAACAACAAACACACAAAAAAGAACTAACCTTCCACATTATTCAAAGACTTAACCCCACGAAACCCACCCTCTTGATCACCATCAAATGACTCTCTAACCTTCCTCTTACAAGGCCTTAAGGGCATGAAAACTGACCCAACAGAAGAATCCACATCACCATCAAGACCACTAGTATCAGTCAAATCCTCCAAACTAGAGAGAGAATAAACAGAACCTCTAGTGCCACATACTTCACAGCTACTGTTCTTATACGGGTTCAAGAAAGTACAAGCCTTGCAAGACCATTTTGGGGTTTCTTGATTTGAAGACGAGGAAGGTAGAGGAGGGGGTGAAGGAGGTGAAAGACATATTTGGCAAGTGGGTTTTGGTGATGGGGAGTTCATGAAAGTGCATTTCTTGCAAGACCAAGACATAATGTTTGAGAGGTGAACAGAAAGATCGGAGCTTTTACTGGGTTTTGGCAGGGGAGAGATGATGGTGCTGGGTATAAAGGTTATACTGCGCAATAAAGACAGCATTCTTACTAGTTTGGAAATTCAAACTGGTTGCCCCTTTTGCTTTTGAAATGAAGTCCAACTTTGGGGCAAGGTGGCCCACTAAAGAATCACACGTGTGAGGACTTCAGTGGGACCCATGGGTCCGGGCTACGTGGGACCCACGAAGCATTCATGGGCTTTTGATGGGCTTGATGTTCTTTGCTCTGGGGTCATTCAGGCATGCTTCCAATATATTGGGTTTGGATTCACACAATGCGGACCAGAAGGCAATCAGGTGATTAGGGTTTGGTCGAAAAGTAAAATGTCCAAGAATTCATAGTCTGGCTTTCAATTTTTGATGACTAGTATGAGAAAAATGGCCTAAATATGCCACTGGTGAATAAAACCAAATGATGATATAGGTGGAGTGGTACGTGAAAAACTCCTCTATATTTTGCATCATATATAAATTAGTTTTTTTATTCACACTATGCTCGGATAGTACAGAAAATATACAATTATTTTTAAAAAATTATTTTAATTTAATATTTTATGTTATATTATACATATACTAAAATATATCAAATCAAAATTAAATAAAAATTCATTTAATTTTTTAATTTTTTAAACAAAATTTTGTATTTAACTGACTATTCTTTATACTTTTCATAATTTTTTATTAAAAAAAATATTTATTTATCTTCATCCACAAACTAAAAAATTTATAGTAGTATAAAAAATATCAAACTCAATGGATTATTAGCTAAAAACTTATTTTGTAAATTTTTTAAACATTTTTTTGTCTTAAAATTTTTTATTAAAAAAATTAGAGAAAAAAAGGACCAAAGTGGCAAAAATAAAACAAAAAAAAGAGACCAAAATCAAACAAAAAATATTTATGGACTTAAAAAATAATATTTAAAAAAGAGAAACCAAAGTGTAATATCACGAAAACTTTCATAATAAATGTCTTAAAAATATTTACAAACTACAAAAATATCACCGTATAGTGAAATAAATAATACATTTGAGTCCGGATGAATAGTACAAATGAATCGAATGAACAATATTTCAATAATACAATGAATAGTAACTATATGTTTTATTTTAGCGTTTTTCTAATTATTTATGACTTAAAAAGTTGAATTTTTAAAATTGATAAAAAAAAAAAAAACTAGACACTATCTCATACCAATCTAGTTGAGAAAGTAATAAACTTAGTTTTTAATTGATGTAAAAATTACCTCCATCCGTTTACTCGTTAATTTGATCGATAAACGACTTCCCTCCTTTTTTTTTTTTTTGTAAACATTGAATTTTTAAAAAAAATTTCCATCAATTTACTGTTCACATGAACAGTAAACGGCTTGCATCCTATTTTTTTTTTCTAAACATTGAATTTTTTTTTTAATTTCTGTTTCTTAATAGTATTTGGTGTTAAAATTTTAAAAGAACCAACAATTAATTGGGTGTTAAAATTTTAAAGAAACCAACAATTTATTTTCTTTATTGTTTATTTTTAAAATTTAAAAAAATAAATAAGAAATAGTTAAATACAAAATTTTTTATTAAAAAATTATGATTATTTTTTACCATAAAACATATTATTAAATTGAAATAATTTTTCTAAACGATTTTATATATTTTATCCAACCCATAGCATAGCGCAGATAAAAAATCTAATACTATATACTAAAGAAAAACTATTTTTCACTATAGCAATGAACGAGTGTTAATCATTGTTCATTGCTATATTACTTTGGCTTTTTTTGGTTTTTTAAGTTTTTTTTTTTTTTTTGCCCGCACTTACTAGCCTCCCCCATCCCCTTTTTTTACCCGTTTATTGTTCATTTGAATGGTAAACGGCTTGCCCTCTTTTTTTTTTTTTTTCCCTCTAAACACTAATTTTTTTTTTAATTTCCATCCGTTTACTATTCATATGAACAAGTAAATGGCTGGCCTCCTTTTTTTTTTTTCCTAAACATTGAATTTTTTTTAATTTTAATTTCTTAATAATATTAGGTGTTAAAATTTTAAAAGAACCAACAATTAATTAGGTGTTAAAATTTTAAATAAATCAATAATTTATTTGCTTTATTATTTATTTCTAAAATTTAAAAACAAAAATAAGAAATAGTTAAATATAATTTTTTTCATTTAAAAATTATAATTATTTTTTATCATAAAACAGATTATTAAACTGAAATAATTTTTCTATATGATTTTATATATTTTACCCAATCCACAGCGTAACGCTGGTAAAAAATCTAATACTTCATTATATATAATGATAATGATAATAATAATAATAAAACATGGAGTCATAAAATACTCGGATAGCCTGCTCTCCACGAAACTACAGCACCCCTTTGTTGCAGATTATTGGAAGAAATAGTGGAGAATGAATGGATTAAATTGAGAAAGCTGTTTGGTTTTTGAAACAAGGAATATCTTTTGAAGATACTCCCACCATCTTCCTCATAATTACAGCCCCAACACCCCTTCTCTTTAGGCCTCCACGTTTGCTGCTGTTAACTCTTTGCTTACAAGAAAGTATTTATAGTGCTAATCTACTTTTTTTTCCTTCTTTTCCACACTTTATTGATTACAATTTACATCAAAGAGCCCACAAAAAACAAGAGGACCCACCAAAGACATCTCTCTAGTGAGAATTTGCTTCTATAATGAAGGATTTGTGGACCAAACAAAGCCTAGCACAGCAATAGCTAATCATCATCATCAACGAATCAAAAACAATTACATTACAAAAAAAATTGTTTTATTTTACACCTCAAGACATCGCAAAAGGAATGTATAACAAAATGGAGAAAAGTAAAGTCAAGAAAGCTTGTAATGCCTTGTCCATTCCACTTATTCTACTGATTTTGAAGTTGATTAACCTTGAACCACCAGCTGCATTACTTGCTGCGGTTGTGTTCACCACCGACTTCGTCTTATTCGTTATTTTCTTGCTGCATCCAAAGTTAGATGCTTGGTTGGTTATTGTGCAAAAGTGTTTTAATTAATTAACTGTTTTGCTTTTTGCACTCTCCATCTCTTGACAACCAGAAAGGGAATGCAAAGAAGCAGAAAAGGAACTAAAAGTGGGAAAAAATTAGGCCAACAAGTTAAAAAGGAAGAGTTTCTTACCTTCCAGGAAATATACAGTTCCCATGACCTGTCAACATTTACCAACAACGAGAAAAGATGTTAGGTTTGAAAAAAACTGACCTAGCACTCAAAATCAACAGGTTAAGAAAAAAATAGCACAGACAGGACTCATTTTGCTCAAGGCAATAGTCCTTCAGTGGATAAAGGACAATTATGGAGTTTCTTGCAAGAATGAATGAAAGAAATAGAATGCATGGCCTTGAACTATTGTTTTTGTCCTGTCCTGACTCTATGGGGCTCAGTTGGTATATAGCGTCCAAGTTGAAAACATAGTTTTCTGACTTGGCTGCTTCAGCACAAAATGTTATTCCATGCTCTTTCCACACTCCAATCACTCAAGAACCCATGTGACTCTGTCAGGTAGGAATCACACAGGATGTATCCTTGAAGTTAAACTTGTCCTCAGAAGTATCCCTCCCCATAGTTTTAATAAGCGGACGGTTGAAAAAACGACCGCGGTCATCATCGTGGATCGTGACTTACTATAATACTACAACAGTAGTAACGGAATGCTCTGAAACCATTACATAATGGCCGTTATTTAAAACTATGTCCCTCCCCTAAGGATTATGATGGGATGGTGCCACGATTCACTTTCCTTTAGTGGTGTGGCATTAGGCAATTAGCACCTTTTGAACTTTGAGCTTAAGGTGCCCTTTTAACCACTCAATAGTCTTAGGGCACTTAACAGATGCACAAGAAGACATCTAAATGCCCTGGATTTGAACTAGGCCAAATTGGTTGTCTAAGCCGTACCAACACATTCAATTTTGCATACAGAACTACAGTTTGATAACTAATATTGACTGCAAAAATTGAAGATCACATACTAAATTTTGTTAAGATTCAATGTAACATAAGAGACCAATGTTTATTTAAGACATTAAGAGCGGAAAACACATACTTGGATCAGTAGTGGTGATCATGGCTACACCCTTGAAATCGCAGGACCCAGCAGCCCTTCCTTCCTTCTGGTAATAGCTATCAAATGCATAAGAGGCATGGTTCTTCACATTGTTAGGCTGGTAACAATCCTCCCCTGGCTGAATCTCACTACAATTAGCCCTTCCTGGTCCACATGCCCAATCCAATGCTGCCTGCAATGTCTTTGAATCAACACCATCCATAACAACACAATATGTTTGGTTGGTTGTATCATTAGCCAAAAATGTCCCACTTCCCGATACGTGAAGCAAATAAACCGACGTCGAATTCGCATAAAACAAACCCCAATTTGCTTCTGATACTGGTGGTGACCTCAAGTCCTCATTGAACAACTCATATATATACACACTAGAGGTGATTTCTGGATGCAAAGGAGTCCCGCTACGATCCAAAACATGCTTAATCAAATTAGAATTATAAGTATCTGCATTGTCAATGGTAGCATAAGGCTCTTTTGAATCACCCTTTGAAGGCCAACCACTCTCAGTAACAAGAACCACAACATCAGTAAAGTTCAAATTCTTCATCGAAAAATAAGCAGCATCAACCATAGCATCAAGAACATTAGTGTAATGCAACAAAGTATTAGGATCAACCATTTCTTTAGATGGTGTCAAGGGCTTAAACAAAGAATTATCAAGAGGCACCACTCCTTTATTTTGCATAAACACATAGTAAGGATAAAGATTCATCATCAAAGGTGACCCAGTTTTTGACAAAAACTGAAGCAAAGATTGCATAACTGAGCTCCAACTCTGATTAAAAAAAGACTGAGAAGGTGGGAAAGGATCAAGAATTATTGAAGCAGAATGTGGAGTTGAAATCTTGATCTGATTATGCAAATTTGCAGCCACTAAAGAACTATAAAGAGACTCAATAGCTGGCATAAGCAAAGGAGCTGAAGAGGGTACAGTAGTCAAAACCTCATCACCAACAGCAATTGCTGTAATTACAGTTTCCGGATAATAAGAAACAACATTTTTACCAATCCAAGAAGCTGCTGTTGCATTAGAGGAGCCAATAGCAAGAAGCTGATTATTTGGGACACTAATAATGACCCGGATCTTGGTTTTAGCCAAGGCCTTGAGCATTTCAGGGTCTGCATCATAGAGCCTGATATGCGTAACCTTCTGAAATTGTAGAAATGAAACAAGTTCTGCTGCTGACATAAGATTCGACACATCTACTCCTATGTTGATTCCCACGAATGGCTCATTATCTTGTTGATCCTTGATTTGCGTCACTGCTATTTTTGATGATAAAGCTGAAAATTTGCCAGAGAAAGATTAGAAACACAGAAAGGATTCTTCCTAGTTTCTTGAAATAGTGAATACAAAAGTGGGGTTTTTGTCAATTACCTTGTGAAGATATAAAAAGTAAAGTGGACAAGAAGAAGAAGATAGTGAAGAGAGGAAGCTTAGAGAGTGCCATAACTGAAGAAGAACTTGAGCTTCACAACTTCATCTTCTGCTTCTGGCTCAGCTAAAGGTTCTTGCATTATCTTGTAGAAATATTTTTCTTTTTTGAGTGAATTTCTTGGTGGGTTTTGGTTTGGCTACGGAGTTAGCTTGTTGACCTCAATAAATCTTACCGTATCTAACAAGAATCCATAAAGAAATCCAACGAACTCTGCTTGCTAAGAAGAGTTCAGAAAAACTAAAATATACTCCCAACCCCCTAAATAAATTTTTGTATCAATTTTGTCCCTAAATTCTTAAGAACTTTCAATTAAGTCATGACTTCCACCCAAATCAAACTTTTCTTTGTAAGAAATAACGCCGTTTTGTTTATCATATTTTGTTAAAAAATTATAATAAAAAAAAATAATTTTATCTAATTAATATTAGAAGAAACTTTCTCCTATCTATAGTTTCATGATGATAGAAAAATATATTTTAAAAACACTAAATATTTTCTTAAATAAACATTTTCTTTTACTGTTTGTCTTTCATTAAGTTTTTTTTCACCATTTTTACTATGTTCATTAGAGTCTACAATTTTTTTTATATGACCTCTTAATATCAAGACAACTATAAGTATGAGGAAATTCTCTCTGCTCTGGATTGGGGTAAATTATTGTCGCTGACAGAAGAATTTAATTGAGAAATCCAAATTGTTTGAGGGGCAAAATTAACATTACCCCAATAGTAGGGGGGCACATGCTTGAGTTCACCCAAAATTGTTTACTGAACTAAGGAATTCCCTAAAGTGGCCTTGGGGACCGACAAGTACTTTAGTTTCTTTTCCACGTGCTCTTTAGGACAAAAGGTAAAAGGTTTGAAACGAGAAGAGGAGCTTTATGGTAACTTCACTTAGATTGACATTGCTTGTTCTAGACCTTGGCTAGAGATGGCTCTTGAAGTGACGAAAGCCACGCACAGGCTGGCATTTTCGAGAGAGAGAGAGAGAGAGAGAGAGCGTTAGAAACCTGTGACTCTGTAGCCAACCAGGCGGCACTCTCAGCTGCTTGCCAAAGTGTAATTCTTTAGAGTTTGGACTTCTGGTTAGGCCTACGCACCTGACATCATTTTGATTTCTTTTTGTTCAATTTGAAAAATCCCATTTTGACATTTTTTTTTTTTTGTGCAACCCCATTTTCACACAAGGCAATAGGCATTTACTTTGAATGGAACCACAAAATGGTATTTTGCTAATAAGCAAATGAGGATTTGTAAATCAGATCTACGGTTTGATTTTTGTTAATCTCAAAATATATGAAAATTGAATCGAAAATACTTTTACTTTTTAACCTAAAAAACTTTTGCAGGAAATCTTGAATTTATACATATATAATAATTCAATGGAGCAATTTGGTGAAAATCGTATGGGCTTCCTTTACTTTACATTCGATCAAATCATACCAAAATTTAGTAAAATGAGCCTTTACTTGTAATATACTCGAAAAAAAATTAATAATGCTTATATAAGAGAGAATTTTTTTAAAAAATGAATCTAATACAAAATATTTTTATCATTTTTAGTAAATCTAAATTTAATTTTTACTTTTTTTTTATGTATGGCTTTATGTTCAAAATGAATCAGTAAAATAAATACTGATAGTTACTCTTTAGTATTTAAAAAAAAAATTCTCGAATACAATTAGATATCAATCTTTTTATAATATTTATTACTATGCCAAGTAATTAATTAATTTGATCATTATACAATTTATTATCATTTTTTTTTATGTTTGTCTCTTTCTTCGAAATGAATTTATAAAATAATTGCTCATAGATACTCTTTAGTATTTTTAAATTTTTTCCTCGAATGCAAATCTTTTCGTAATATTTATTACTATGCCAAGGAATTAATTAATTGATCATTATACTATTTATTACTACGCTACTAATATCCATTTCTAAATAAAAATATAAGTTGTACATCTATAACTATCTATAAAAAAACACCAATTTATATTGAAATATTTGATACGACTAAAATATTCTTATTAATTTTAATTTTTTTTAATACTTTAGTTATTATAAATCCATATTTTGTTACTTGTTGAATTAATTCGTAGAAAAAAATACATATTTAAATAATACACGTGTAAATCATGCGACAAAAAAAATAAAAATTGTAATTTGTAAATTGTAAATAACGTGAAACATTATTGAAAAACAAAGATAGTGGCATCCAAAGCACAAGCAGAAAGCACTATTTGATTCTGTGTATCAAACAAAATAGACTTCAGAATACAATTGTTCAACACTGTCTCCTTCACGGGCATGATTAACCAGAAGAGAACATCTGCAACAGCTTCACGTGTCCTTCACCATTATTTTAAGCAATCCTCTTTTTCGTCAAAAAAAAAAAAAAAAAAAAATCCACCTTTTAATCCCTTTGTGGAATTTTACATTCTCTAGTGCTAAAGTCCTAAAATTTTCATTTCTTTTTGAAATACATTCTTGAATTGATGGATAGAGAGAGAGAGGGCAGACCAATCATTCCATTCAAATATAGTACAAAATAACGTTGAAATAGATCAATCATTTCATTTAACATATGATCAATCATATAATAACATGTAATTAACAGAATTAGATAGAAACATTGCTTTGTTCCAACGTTCAACGAACCAAAATTTGTTCTGTATCATAACTAGCAAAATTAAAATAGAAAATACTCATATAAAAACACACGATAAATTTTATATTTTTCTTTCCCATTTATGTTGTAAAATTTGTTCTGTATTATGACTAGAGAGATTAAAATAGATAATACTTATATAAAGGCACACTGTGAATTTTATATTTTTCTTTCTTATTTATGTTGTTAAAGAGATGAAAAATAAAAAATAGATGGCGAATATGTGGTCGAATCCATACCTAATATTCTAGTGCCGTCGCAGTATGAACTTGTAAAAATTTATGATGTTTTCACATGAACGATCCAAATATTTCCTACATTGGGTGATTAAGAGGATAAATATGTGCTAATCTATTTAATTTTCTGTTTACCAGCCGCATAATATAAAGCCAAATTTTGTCAGACCTAAACGTATTAACATAAAATAAAAAAAAGGGCCCAACATGCATTATTCAAATAGTCCTTCAGTACTTGCTTATTGTGAAAAAAAGGACAGATGCTTTACCATTTGGTAATTGGAATCCTAGGAGAGTTTCAATCTTCCTGTCTGGATCACACCACGATGATATTTAGCACTGTGATGGAATCTCCCCTTTTTTACCATGCCTGGAAACATCAGAGAATGGGTAGGGTATTATCAGAAAGGTTTTTCTTAATTTTTTAAAATATAGTTAATAGTTTAATTTGTTGTTTTAGATTTTTAATTAATTATTTTTATATATATGAAGTTTTTAATCTATCATTTTGATAAAATTTTTAAGTTAAATTATTGAAATTAATCAGGTTTGTTTAGTTTGAAAGACATTTTGAAAATAAAAAATAATTATATAAAAATTATATGATTAATTTTAATTATTTAATTTGTCTTTTTAGATTTTTAATTAAATTACTTGAATATACTTGGAGTTCCTAACCTATCATTTTGAGAAAATTCTTAAGTTAGACTATTAAAATTAATCACATGATTTACATATGAAAGTTTTTATTTATTTAATTCGAAGAGCATTTTGAAAATTAAAAATAATAATGTACAAATCATACAGCTGATTCTGATTATTTTACTTACAAGTATTGTTGAAAAGATAGATTACAAACTTATCTCAATTAGAAAGATAAAAAAAATATTTAAAAGTTATTTTATTATATAAAAATAAATCGAGATATTAATAGGTAGACGTGCGATATCATGGAATTGATCCAGTTCAACTACCAAACTAGCCAGCTGTCATTTATGATGCCTAAAAATATTGAACGGAAGCCCCTCTACATAACTAATTTGCGAAAAGGGCCTTAGATTTTACTAGAACGCTTATATAATTTAATTTATTTTTAAAAATTTTAAGCATTTGAAAATTGGTTTTTTTATTTTGGATTTTTTAACTATTTTTTATTTAAATTTATTTTTTTTTGTTAAATTTTCATCAATTCTAACACATAAATATAATTTCTCAATACCTAAAAAAAATATCAAAATTTATAAATATTTTGTTTTTCTTTTCAAAACATGTTATTTTCCCTCTAAATGCTAACAAGTAAGCAACTTAAATATTTTAGGAAGGAAAAAAAAATTTTAAAAGGAAAACAAAAATATCAATAAGTTTTGACACACTTCTAACTATTAAAGAAGTTAAAAAATTAACAACGTATAAATTACATATACTTTTATTTTTAGAATTGATAAAAACCTAAAATAACAATTCAATTTCAAATTAATTGGAAGAAATTTCACTCCAAAATTAAAAAAACTGAAAGATTGATTCTTAGATGACTTAAAATTCAAAGAAATCTAGACCATTTAGCCTATTAAATATATCAAGAATTTTATTTTGTCTTTTTTATAAATATGAGATCCATAATGATTTATGGATTCCAAAAAGTATAGTCTGGATATATATATATATATCGAAAATATATCGAATAATTCTTGCTCTTAGAAGTATTATTACAGTAGCTAGCACTTGAACCTAGCTGCATGTAGAGGAATCATATCATGCATGGATCTGTTACGTACACTAAAACATTTTGAAATAGGTTAATTTATAAACAGAAAACACTTTTCAAATTATAAATTAAGTTTTTTATTTTGGAGATAGTTATAATTTAGTTTCTAGCAACAAGGAGAAGAAAAGAAGCAAAACCCTGAGAGGCATAACAAAGCATCTTTTCTATTTCTGAACAATATATATATATATAACTTTATTATCCTCTCCTTTTTTTTTCCTTTTTTTTTTTTTTTTAAGTGCATGGATCTTCTCCATACACTAAAACATTTTGTTTAATAATTCCCTAATTAGTTTAATAGATTGCATTTTATAGTATTAGGTTAGTGAAGAAATGACCCC